ATTAGATCACAAGACCGAGGTTGGTTCGCTATGTAGTTTGCACCCGGGCATGGTTGAAGATACCCACTGCCGGATAGTGCTCACATTTAATTGGTCGTAAGACAAGCCTCCCAGCTCACTTAGTCAAACGAACACCTTTTCAACCCTTGCCTTTCATGATAGGAAAACATGATGAACTACAAAGTGACACTGCTGAAACCGGACACAGACTAACATCATTGAACATGCTATGTATTTCGCACCCAGGCATGAATGACTAACATCATTAAACATGATAGGTTTAACTGACGAATGAAACTTTCTTGGACCGGGTGGAACGAACACTTTCTTCAGCAATCTTTTTCAACCGTTCTCGGGTTACTATACCGAGTTCCCCTGTAGAAACCTTGCCTTTCATGATAGGATGAGGTTTTGGTTTTGGCTTGGTGGGGACATCAATAGATGGTTGCTGACTGGGACCGGCCTCTGACTCCTTTTGTTTTGAAGGGACTGGTCGTTTTGCGTTGACACCACTTGACTTAGTGAAATCAAAGCTATTCGAAGCTTTGGTTGTGTCTGACCTCAGATTGGTTGCTTGAGCTGGTTTGACAGTGGCTTGGATAACAGCTGAGGCAGCTCGGCATTTGACTTTGCCTGGTCGGGCACTCCTCGGGCCAAGTTTATAACCCTTCTCTAACCGAGGAAACTTGCAGGGTGTATCCTCCTCATCAGTGAATTTTCTCTTCTTTGCTCGATCAGCTGATTCCACCCCACAGCCCAGGTCGGCTTCCCAAAATGTATCATCAGCCAAGACCTCACTGTCTGATGGTACTTCATGGGAGAGAGCCCAGGTGTTGTTGTACCGAGGCTGAAGCTTGGGGCTGGTATCTACCATGATTGTAGCATCGTCTGAGCCCAAATCTGATGCCGAGTCTCTATCCTCTTCCAAGGTCGGGTTGACCCTGCTAGGTTTCACTGTGGGCTCAGTCAGAGTATCCTGCTTCGGCCTCTCTTGACCATTATTGGAGTCTGAGTCACTATCATCAGAGCCATCCTCACGATGTTTGTCATGCTGTTTGGTTGGTTTCTTGGTTGGTTTCTCCATGTCCAAGTCTTCTCCATCGTCATCGGAGCCATCCCGATCAGGAGTCCAGTCATCCTTAGAAAACTGTTCGGTTCGTTTCTTGGCCGGCTTATCCACATCCAAATCCTTCCAACTGTTGTCATCGAACTGCCGATCTTCCACCCCTTCCTTTCTCTTTGGCCTGGCTTCCTCATCTGACGGTGACTTGGTTGCTGCCCGCCCTCTCCTTTGACCCTTGCTTCTGCTGGGCTTCTTGCCCTTCCCAACACTATGAACATGAGGTTTAGGAACATGAACTTTGATTTTCCTTTGTGGAGGTGCTTCCAGCAGCATTTTCCCCTCAAGAAAGGATTTAAATCAAAAGGCGACTTTGTGTTGTTCTTGACGTTCATACCAAAACTGGAGAGCTTCAGTGACCATCTCCATTGGGAATTTGGAGGGATCAAGAAACTTGTAAAAGTTGTTACCTTCTCCATTTACTGATCTCCAAGCCGGGGGTATATATTCTAGATCAATGAAGTCAAGTAACTTTGATCCAATAGCCGTCCAAGGAGCCGATCCCTTACTCTGCCCAGCTGCAAGATCTAAGTAGACAAATGTTTAGTGATACAGGGCAAGAATCTCTGGGGACCGGCTTACTATAGTGCTGGTTGACAAATGTATGAAGAACATTCAGCCGCCAAATTTAAATATCACGGGAAGTTTTAAGTGGTGGTTTCAATGGATCAGGTAGAATAGGTTCCAGGTATAGGTTCTTCTTCAAAGTCATAGCACCCTGGGATCGGTGTCCTCCTTCGGCCGAAGCAAGATCCTCCAACCCATAGTATTCTTCATTGTGTGCTCTCCAAGAAGATACCAATATTCCTTCCTCATGGAAAGTCCGGCTATGGTTATCAATAAAGTCTTTCCCATTGCCGAGTTCTTGATTGAAGTCGTATGTCGAGATGTCCAAATTACCATCGGGCTTCAGATAACATCCTAAGATAAAGACCCAGACACCCATTGTGTCATAAAGTTCCTTGGAAAATGCATGCATCCGAGCTGTGCAGTTCTTTACAGCCAGTCTACCAAAGGTCCAGATAAGCCAACGTTAGAATAATGAAAATTAACTTACTTGGACTTGAGTTCCGGGTCAACTCCCTTCTTGTTGTACTCCTTGGCTGTCCTCTGCAGTACGTCTTTCTCCCTTTTCTTCAGTTTTCCCATCATTTGAGTCACGACCCACTCCCAAAAATCAAAATGAGTGGGATCTCCCCCTTTAGGCCTCTTTTGTCCCTCTTCAATGGCTTCGGCACAAAGCCTTTTCGCTTCGGTATCAATGGCGTCCTTGTTCTCATGCTGGAACACACGCCGGGTGTGCCACGACTTTCCCATCCTCAGCATTTTCTGACTTCTCTTACGACTGTACTGGGCAAACCACTCTTTAATATCCTACAAGTCCGTCAGGAATCAATTAGAGGGCCTCTGGAAAAAGTACTTACTTTTTTAACAGCTGATCTTTCTTCCTTCTTGAACGATTTTCCATTGGGGAGTATGTTGAGCATGTCTTGCAAAACTCAAGAAAATATCTCAGCACAAGCAGCGTCGTTGGCATCTCTGTACTCCTCCCGATGTTTTTCCAACAGAGCACTTTCTTCATCGGTCCAATGTGGTGCTTGGTTTGACTGGAAAGTGGGGCAGATGGTTCAGGGGATTGAGAATGAGTACTCATAATGATATAATTAATGGTATTTGGGAGCAAAGAGGTAGATGGAAAATGGTAGTCGGGAGCAGAGAGGGAGAACAACTCATGCCAAATACAATGAACAAACAATCACCCCTGATTCGGGAAAGGGAATTACTTTATATATCATCTATCAAAAATATACATAACTGATCGGCACAGAAGATCAAACACAAAACGGAAAAGAACAGACCTTAATAACCTTAAATAGCTTAAATAGCGGAACAGTTATGATTGCATCACAGGACAAAACCTTAATTAGCTTCCTCTGTAATTATGTCCATCTGTAATTATCATCGGTCCATCTAAGTAACTAAACTGGTAACACAGTTATGGTGGTATATATTGAAGCTACCTTTATACCAATGTATGATGAGGCTGCCGGCGACATACAGATCTTGATATTTTGCAGTCATATTGAAGGTGATAAAAATTAAAAGTTCACAAGAAGCTGCCGTTAAAGAGTATGCAAAGTGTATGAAATATGAGATTGTGTTTCTAATTGACTATTATCCAGTCCTGCTGGCCGGCTTTTATGGCTTGGGTGTGTGCTCATCCCAGTCTTACTGCCAACTTTTTAAGGATACAACAGCCTGACTGGTTGGATCAAATACAGAGTGAGTCTCGTCACATTGGCTCCAGAGTGAGTCTCTTCACATTGGCCTCCCTTCTTGCATAAATTGTAGAGTTGGTCTGTTGTAAGTTGGAAAACATTTGACAAACTCCAGGAATTTTTACCTAGCTGGAAATGCAAATCTGTTATGAATGTTTGCATTTGCTATTCGACGGCCACATTTTCCTCTTTCCCGCTACGCCCACATTGAAGCCTGGTGCATAGAGATAGAATTGAGAGTGGCCCAGGCAAATAACGAGGTCTTATCAGTGCCCCCCTAATTCCTGCAGGAATCCGGTCATTCCTGTGGATTCCGGAGGAATGAAATTTGGCAGGGAGGCCTGCCATTTTCATCATTCCGGTGCCTTACCATTCCGGCGGAATTTGGGCATTCCGGAATTGATACCGGAATGATCCGCGGAATGCACAGGAACGGAATGTAACGGAATCCGGTCCTTTGTTTGTTTATTTTAGTTCTGTTACCAAACAAAGGCAACATTACCAAACAATTGCAACACCCTTTCCTTTCACCCACCACCAACCATCCTTGTCCCCCCACTTCCATTCCCTCCCACCACCCATGTTGGCAACGACAACAACGACAACCACACCACACGACCCAACAATGGCCACGACCACACCAGCAACGAACGGAAGCGACCACCGCCAGCGAGGCGGCACCACGACAATCCACGAGCGCCCACGACAATGACGTGGCCGATCCACGGGCGCCACCATCAACCAGGGCCCACCACGCCAGCCAGCCACGAACGACACACCATGCGCCCACCAGCATCATCAACGTGACACCTATGCAACGTGGCGGCGAAACGACATGGGAACGAGGTGGCAAAACAACAACGACGATGTGACGTGGGTACAACGCGACGACGCAACATGGGTACGAGGCAACAACGTGACGATGACGACGCGAAGTGGGTACGAGGCAACAACGCGACGACGACGACACGATGTGGGTACGAGACGATGACGCGACGACAACAACAATGCGATGACAACGACAACGCGACGTAGGAACGACGACATGACATAGGAACGAGACGACGCAACATGAGTACCATTAGTCCCCACCACTTTCTCCCCCTCCATCCCCTCCCCAGGGCCTGCCCCACACCATTGCCTGTCCCTCCTCCCTTCCTCCCTCCCTCCCTTCCTTCCTTCCTCCCCCCTTCCTCCCTCCCTCCCTTCCTCCCCCCTTCCTTCCTCCCTTCCTCCCTCCCTCCCTTCCTTCCTCCCTTCCTCCGTCCCTTCCTGCCCCTTCATTTAACTTAGAAAATAGTAAATTAGATGTAGATTTGAGTTTTAATATATAAATATTATAAGAAAGTGTTCATACCCTTTAAGTCAGTGTGAAGAAGTGCATATTAGTGTAAATGTATCTAGCAAAAAGGAAGCAGATGAAGAAACCAGAAGAAGGTGAGGAGGATAACTTGGGTTTGGATGAAGAAGTCCAGGATGATGAGGATAACTAAATAAGAAGTGTATATTAGTGTAAATTCACCAGATTCCAGTTCCATTCCTGTGGATTCCTGCAGGAATGGGTGGGGCACTATAAAGTACTGCAAATAACGCTCCGAAGCGTTTATGGGAAGCCATCGGTTACAAGTCATTCCTTTATCAGAAGAGAATTCGAGCCAAGAAATCGAAAAAATGTGTAACTCGGGCTTACAATGCTGTACAAGGATCGGATCGTGATATGAAAAGTGCTCTCTGGGCATACAACCAAGCTCAATGGGCTCTTAATCAGCTCAATGCTCCTCGGGGCACTCGTGACCGATACAAGCTGATAGGGAAAAAAGATACAAGGGCACTAACTACAGTATACAATGGCAACGCCTGGGGTCAAAGAAATATTGCTCTGCCATGGTTCTGGAATATGGCTGTGGCTGATGATTCATCGGGTTCAACATACATGGAACAAGGTCAGATCCAGTCACTTTTATCACTCTACATTAATTGAAACCAGACAAATCAAAGTATATCGGGTGAATTGGCTCAGAGCAAAAGCTCGATATGACCGGTGGTCAGAAGAGCATCTCTTGATCCCAAACAAAATGAACTGGACCCGCCTCTATTTCAAATCAGTATGTGGAAAGAACTGGCCTTCCAGGCCACTGAAGAATTTATAAATGCCGGGGTCATGTGCGAGGCCATTGCATTACAGTGTTTTGCATGTCAGATTGCACAACAAATCTGACGAAAACTTGTTTGTACATGTAGTCCGTGACTGATGTCACATTGCAGAGGGTTCGGATCTTGGATCTAGAATGAATATTGGTTGTGCTAGTAGATACCATACGCACCTCACAATCAACCTTCGCAATACTTAATGGCACCCATACTTTCAAATGAGATGAGGCAACGTATCATAACTTGGCATTACAAGCAGCATATCTCTGCTTCTGACATTCATACTCTGGCTGGCTGCAGCCTCCGTACTGTCTACAACAGCTTACAATTTCATCGGGATTATGGGACTGTCGATAACCCATTTGCGGGACCATGTGGGGGTGTACGCTGCCTTGACATGGGTGATATCAACTATCTAGCCTCTATCATAGATGCTCGTCCCAAGATTTACCTTGATGAACTGCAACAAGAGCTTCTCCTCCACCGAAACATTGATGTCTCCATCTCTACCATCTCACGTGCTCTTCAGCGGCTTGCAATCAGCCAAAAGAAGGTTTCACATGAAGCCATCGAGCGGAACGAGCTCTTGCGTGCCACTTGGCAAGCTGAGTATGGCGACATTCCTGCAGAATATTTTGTCTGGCTGGATGAAGCTAGTGTTGATGACCAAACAAATCAACGTAGAGATGGTTGGGCAGCAGTTGGGAGGGCATGTATCTCTTGTGCGACATTTATTCGTGGGCAGCAGTTTTCGGTTTTGCCTGCCCTGACACACAAAGGTATCATTGCCCTTGACATCTTTGAGGGATCTGTGAACAAGGAAAAGTTCATCCAATTTGTTGATCAGCAACTTGTATGTTGTTTCACTTCTCCATTTGCCTTTGCAACTTATTTTACTTCCAGGCACCACAGCTAAACCCATTTCCTGCACCATGTAGTGTTGTAGTTGTGGACAACTGTGCGATACATCATGACGAAGAGATCTGACGTATCATTGAGGATGAATGTGGTAAGTTACAATCTCGTAACTCTGTTATTCAAATAAACTCTCATCCATCAAAGGTGCCAGACTTGTTTATCTTCCACCTTACTCTCCCGACTACAACCCTATTGAACAAGCTTTCCATACTATCAAAGCATGGCTTCGTCGCCATGAGGCTGATGCTATCAACGCTGAAGTCAGACCTTGGCTGATTCAACAGGCTGTACTCTTTGTTGCACCAGAAATGGCAGAAGGGTGGATCGAAAACTGTGGATACTCATTCTCTGAAAATTACAACTTGTAACTATGGTCAGCGGAATACAATATGTACAATCAGGTCAGTATAGTAATGTAATTGGAACATCAAAGAGCAATGCAGCAACTTGTAACTACAGTCAGCGGAATACAATATGTGCAACTATGGTCAGCAGAATACAATATGTGCAACTATGGTCAGCGGAATACAATATGTACAACTATGGTCAGCGGAATACAATATGTGCAACTGTGGTCAGTGGAATATGATATGTACAATCAGGTCAGTATTAGTTATGTAAATGGGACATCAAAGAGCAATGCGGTGCTGTTTTTCCTTCTTCTCCTCAAGGTGAGCATTCCATCCACGACAAAAGACATGGAGCTTGAGGATCTGGCCTTCTGTTGCATGAGTGATATCACACAAACGGTGGACAGGTACATCGGGGATGATATCTGGGGTGAGATCAAGCATGATCAAAGCTTGTTCACATGCAGTCAGATCAATGCCTTTCACCTCCGCGAAGTCACTGAGGCATGATCGAAGCTCAGAGTCAGATGCGGGGATGGGAGAAAGGGGAGGGGACACAGGTGCCTTGCAAACAGGAGTGACAGGGTTGCGGCGTGCAGGAGACGATGACTCAGAGTGCACGCGCTTTCGAGACATGTTTCCAAGGAGTGGAAGCAACCCCGATATAAGTTGCATCATGTCACCAAGTTGGTTAGGAGTGGCGGCGGATGGCCCTGGCCCTGCACGGCCTCGAGGCCTAGGTCCAGGTAGACGTCCATCGCGACTACCATCGAACTCCGAAATGTTGGGGGGAACATGTTTCGTTGCGACATGTGCAGCCTGTAAGAATAGGTTGAGTGGCAAACAAATAAGTTATACAAAAACATACAACAGCAGCTGCCCATGCCTTTAACCGCCTAGCATTGAGTCGGACATGTTCAGATGTGTTTGTAATGTAGCAATAGCCCGCACCACCATGCTCATTAAGATGAGTTGAACAAGGCCATGTTGCCTTCAACTCCATGATGATGGACCCATGCAGCTGCGTCACCTCGCTGAAACCATCGAGATGTGGAACCTATCAACCATGAGCACACATGGTTGGAAAAAGAGTACATGACTTACTCTGGTCCCATAGACGAGCTCACCATCTGTAGGTTCAGTGTTAGCATCCACCGCCGAAGGGAGCTAATGATATAAAGATATCAGAAAGATAGAAGAAGAGAAAGAGGTGTCTTACCAGTTGCTGGATGCGGAACCCCATCATGTTATCAAGGTCAAACTCAACTGACACCGTGCATTTGACCTTGGGTTTGGAGAGGAGATGTCCCAAAGCGACACGAAACTCGTCATCCGTTTGGATGGTTGCTGCCCCGGATTTGCCACCGCTGCAGATAGATAAGTGGGGCAACTTTCAGAACAGAAAAAACAACATACGGCGAGCCCGACCATGACAATTTGAAGTCAGGTCCAGAGTGGACCCCAGGGCTGTACTTGTCGGACAGATTGTGAGTCGCGAGGAAAGCCTTGATGAAGTCAGTGCGAGTGATTTGATCGAGGACGATGTTGGTCATCTTGGTCTTCGGCTTCTGCTTCACAAGTCCCTTCGGGGCACGCCCACCAGCACCAGGTGCCGCTGCGAGGGCATAGACCATTCCAACCGATATGAGATGGCCGGGGCCTGATTGTGAGCATCAACAAGTTGTATCATATCAATAGACCTGCAATGACTTACTAGCATTGCTTGCAGCATTGAGAACATCTCTACCTTCCCTGAGAGCCTGTCCCTGTGGCTGGATGTTTGCATAGTGGTTCGGGGTAGGTGTTAAAAGTGCAGCCTGTTGATCTGCATATGGCCTCGAAGAAACACCTGTGGCACGTAGAGCGGCTTCGATTTCGTCATGGCTATGGTAGAAATGAGGAGGGTCAATGGCCCCATCTATATGGAATGAAGAGATTAGTTTGGACAATGTTGGAGAGATAAAAAAAATGTGTCACCGATCCAGGCTGGGTTCTTCAACCAAAAATCCGACGGGCGACGAGGCGACGCAGCAAAAGGAGGGAGAGGAGGGCCAACGGGTGCAGTATTCTCTTTGTTGGACATGGCTTGTTGGGATTGACGACTTTTCTGAGTTTCTGGCTGAGAACGGAACCCAATAAGTTGAGTTGGAGTAGATCCAAGGAGAGCACCCACTATATATCAAGAATTCCACTCAAGCGCTTGAGTGCGAGACGAGCGGGCAGTTTCCACATATGGTGCTGCCCTGCAAGCTCCATCCATCCTCATCCTTGTCCTGAAGCAGACTAGATTGAGCTGGTGAGCCTCGTGAAGCAGACTAGATTGAGCTGGTGAGCCTCGTGAAGTGGTCTCGAGACCTACTGATATTGGGATCACCAAGACCCTGCCCGCACCCCATAAACCAAGCTATTCCAACTGCTGAGTAAATTGAATATAGCTAGAATGAGGGATTTAGTATGAGAACATGTACCCCATGAAACACCTTCATAATGTACATTCTCCATGAAGAATTCAAAACCGGGTAGTTTTTAAGTGTGCGCCACAGCGTTTGGGTCCTTTATGGCTTGTTGTTTTGTGTGGGGAGAAGCAAAAGGTGAGTAGGGTAAACTGGTGTCGGGGCTCGAGCTGGGAAGTTTTTCAGTGTGAAAAGGTGAACGTGCCATTGGCATACCTTCGAGGTTCGAGCGTTCATTGTTGGGGTCGACGCTCAACGTTCAACCTTCCAGGCTGTGACACCAAGACAACCAAGGTCACACATTACATGTACAAACAAGTTTTCGTGAGATTCGTTGTGCAATCTCACATGCAAAACACTGTACCTAATACTAGTTGAATCAAACTATTCTTTCTCATTGTCCACCATGTATGCAAAAGAACACCTGTCATTTGACCCCCGCCAAGCAGAGCAATGGGTTGACAAGGTGCTGAAGATATGGCCTCCAGTTTTTACCAGAGATTCTTCTGTAGTGGCTAATCTCCTCTGGAAGGACAAGCAAGAGTTCCGGGAGGTACTCTGCTACTGGCCCTCTCGATTCAGAGCCATTTTGACATCAAAGCTCAAAAACCCCATTGACCCCAAGTTCGAGAATTGTTGGTTGGAGTACATGTCGGCCGAACAGGTGAGCTTTATTTTGCCGCGCCTGGCTAAACTCATTCCTTCGGTTAGGGTTTCATTATAGCGACTCTCGGCATGGCATGTGCCTATGGGCATAAAATAAAACTTTGCCCCAGATTTTTTCTCTTTGAGCTCACCTTCCTGCCAGTTTATCATCCCTCCCTTTTTAAAGTCCTGTCTCCAGGGTAACCCACTGCACCCTCAGGAAGCCTTCATGGATGACCGTATCCGGCCTGCATATGAGTTTGCATGGTGGAATACTCACATCACCTTTCCACCAGGGGGCGTCGACCAACTTCTGAAAAGGTCATACAATTGGTTCAGATGGATGGCAAAGGGTGGTTTGCCAATCAAGTACCCAGACACCAATACTTTCCATTCCTCCACTGATTCCTACCGGATTCCGGCTGGAATCCAGGAATTCCAGAGGAATCTGACAGTACTTTACCCTCCCCCATGAGTTCTC